TACGATTGGGGAAGGTCATGCAATGAGCACGCCCACTTGTCCGATCAAAGATTGGCCACTACTAAACATGATATCTTGTTTTTGAAAACATATGCGCTCTTATTCCGGTTTATTAGCCTAGAATTGCTACGTGATGCGCACAACAAACAAGTATAGACATGATTGCCTAAGTTGGAACAAATCAACTCATGTTTGTTTGTTTGAAAATGGTTTGAATGTGCTACTCACAAGTAGGCTAAGATGTGGATTTTCCACCCTCGAGTGGGCTTAGAAAACATAATTTGGCCACAATCAAGTCGGCTTAAAACTCGCATTTCAATGAATTATTCCAATTCAAGTAATCTAACCTTCACCCACAAGCATTCAGGCAGTTATATCACATAAGCAATTAGCCTCATAGCAAGCATGTTGTCATGTTAACACTTACACACATGCAAGATGCTAAAGCATATACACTCACAGTGTACTCCGAGCTAAAATAGGAAACTAGTTAGAAATCATGCATGATCCTAGTTCATGTTAAGATGGCTAACGCAACACATGTGAAATGCAACTAGAATAGGCTCGGCTAATCTAAGAATGGCATGTGAAATGCGACAACTCGATACACATATTCAAGTTGGAATTGAAATATTATGCAATTAGTATGATACGCAGAGCCCGGTGCATGCAAGACAGATGAATGAATGCAAACATGCGAGCATAAGGAAGCCAAATGAAACATGTCCTAAAACTAACCATCGAAAGCTGGCAAATAAAAGGGAGAAAGAAATGGGAGTTGAAAGACATGCATCACACACATGCACAGTTATTACAACAATTGTGCCCTCTCGACGGAGGGTCCAAATAAATAATACAGAACCAACTAGCTAATCTAAGCTAATCTAACTAAACTATTTGTTACACGATGAAATGAATAACAAGTTACAACTACTTATTACACAACATTAACTAAGTAAGCAATCTAAATGAGCATGCAAACTAAATGAATGTGGGCTGCCCCAGCTCTGCTTTGAATGACAAAGGATGCATGCATGATTGAATTGCCTTGTTCGGAAATCCCTCGCGACGCCCCGACTTGCCTCTGTTTGCAATTGATCTTAGAAACTTGCACCAAGCTCCAGAGAGAAGAAACTCCACCTTGGGAATCTGTAGGGATGCTGCCGACTAGATATTGGCCTTAGAGACCACCGGCCGACCACTTTTTGTGGTGGAAACCAGAAAAAGTGGTCGGCCTGCCACTTTATCTGGTCAGCCGACTAGTTTTTGCTGCTGGTTTTTGGTTTTCTGCAACAGTGAGCAAGAAAGGGGCATGGCAAAGTATTTGCAACACATATATACACAACCACCCTCCCCATCATTACACCAGCTCAAGGGAGTATAGTTCTCGACCCTCGGGCCACCAATCACGCATCTCGATGCATGATGGCCAAGGAGCCAAATTGCACAAGTCAATATGAAATGAATGCACACACAAGCACCTAAAGCCAGCAACTCCGTCATGGGTAGTCAAGAGTGTCGGCGACCGAGAATTAAGGCATGTTTCATCACTTGAAGTATGAAACGTCCCTCGTTTCCCGTGTTTGGACTAACACCTATTCCAAACACAATGCAAGCAACATGGAAAACATGCAATGTAACTACATGGCATACGCAATGTAACTACATGGCATACACAATGCTATGGACAATATGGGATACTCAATGCAATATGATCATGGTATGCTCAATGCAAACAATAACATAACATGCACAACGCATTATGACATGGCACACACAATGCAACAATGGACTTAAACCAAGATGGATAGGCCTCAGCCATACCCAACTCAGTGGCCATTGGGATGAAATTAAGGCACAAAATACAAAGCATGCATGCACAATGCATTGGCCAATACAAGAGGCCCAAGAGCACAACTCTCAAGAGTGCTCAAAGAGTGACAAATGTGCAAGTGTAAAGACACTAAGTGCATTGAAATTAAGTAAGAAATGATGCCAAATCATTCAAACAAAGCAAGTGGAGCATGAAGGAATTAAGTAAGAAATGATGCCAAATCATTCAAACAAAGCAAGAAGAGCATGCAAGGGTCCTAAGGCATGGGAGCTATCAAAGAGGACTACACATAAGGCATGCAATGCATGGGAAATATGCATGAACTAAGCATGGACAGAGTTGAAATAGGTCTTAACAAAGACCAAAATGTGCTAAGATGAGGGACCAAAGTCCTAGGCATTCAAGCATACACACTAAGGCATGAACTAGGCAACAATGCATAACCATCAAAGGCATTCAAAACATGAACGAAGTGAGAAAATGGTAAGTCTATATGTTCTGAAATAACTAAGCATGGACGGAGTTGAAATAGGTCTTAACAAAGACCAAAATGTGCTAAGATGAGGGCCCAAAGTCCTAGGCATGCAAGCATACACACTAAGGCATGAACTAGGCAACAATGCATAACCATCAAAGGCATTCAAAACATGAACGAAGTGAGAAAACGGCAAGTCTATATGTTCTGAAATGTGATGTTAAGTGATGCCAAATCAAGTACACAACACAAATAAATCATGCAATGGTGCTCAAAGCTTGAGGCAAGCAAGAGCATTTACACTACAAGTATAGAAAACATGAAGCATGTGATTAAGGCAACCAAAAACAGTCCTAGACATGTTAATAAGAGACTAAAACATGCATGGATGGAAGCCAAAATGTGCTAGCATGAGGGGCATGAGGCATAATACATACAAGGCAAATAAGGTGGATTACACTACACCTATTAGGACCAAGCATGAGATGACTCAACCAACAAAAATTTGAGTTATATAATGGCAAAATAACCCCAAATAAGCACTGAAATGATGGCTCGCAAGCAAAGCATGAATGCATACACAATGGCTCATGTTAAGGCATAAAGGGGGAACCCTCCAACGCATTGATTGAGTGACAAATGCAAGTGCACGGCCATGAAACATGGACTGAAATAGCATAACTAATGATGCCAAATCATTGAAATGAGCCAAGTAATGCATGCTAGTGGACTCGATGCACAAAGCAAACAAGCTAGGTTGAACCAAAGCTATACAAAGCAAGTCATGGATGACCAAGACAACCAAAATCAGACCTTAAACATGGAAAAACATGAACAAAGTCTTCTTTAAGTCAAGCCAAAAGCATGCTAAAAAGACATGTGCCAACATGATGCATGTTAGGCTATTTCATGAGATTGCATGGCAAGTGTATGGAGCATGCAAAGGCCAACCAAACCAAACCACAACAGAGTCATGACATGGTAAAACATCACCAAAAACATGCTGAAATGGGAAGAAAACAATCTAGAATGACATGTCAAGGCATGAAGCATATAAAGCTAGTTTAAGGGATTTACACTACAAGTGTATTAGGCATGCAAGAGCCAACCAAACCAACACAAAACAGATCTAAGGCATGTTAAAACATCACGAAAAACCTACTGAGATGGCTCAAAATCAAACTAGAAACACATGCTCAAACATGAGGCAAATGAAGTATGTAAAGAGGACACAAAGGAGAGAGGGTGACCCTCTCCTTCTTAGGACCTTAAAACACCATCCCCACCACTGAAATCCCTCTAAATTTCAGTGGTGAGAAGGCCAATACAAGGTGGTCCCGAAGCTCACAAGGATGGCACAAAAATGAGGCCAAACAAGGCCTAAGAGGGGGTAAACAATCCCAAACACCAAAGTGATCTTAAACAAAGATCAAAAGCATGCAAAAACACAAATTTTATAAGTTATAAGTTAAGCTCAAAACAGCATGCAAGATAGACTAAAAGCTTAAGCAAGAAAGGGGGATTTAAGGTTAAAAAACTCACCTTGATGAACTTCTTCAAAGCTGCAACTCCAGCAGGTTTTTTTGAGCTAAAACCAAACCAAAAACTCTGGAAACAACCTCAGGATGCCTTAGCAACAAAATGGTGGTGCTTGGCTAGGAGGTTGTGTGCACAAGTGAAGAGGCAAAGCACTTTAAGGCACAAAATATGGAGATATAGAGAGAGATATATGCTCAAGCCTTAGGCAAAATTCAAAACCTGAGACAAGAGAGAGAGCCTTTCCACTTATAGAAAAACAAGCACCAAGCTTGTTGAAGAAGTTGAAGCTAGATGCAATCCCTCCATACACTATGGAGGATGCAATCTGTGCAATCCAGCTGGCACAACTGGCATCCACAACACCCGTAGAATATGCAGGAAGGCCGCCGACCAATTAAAGTGGTCGGCCTGCCACTTTTTCTAGTCAGCTGACCACTTTTTCTTGTTTTTCCAAAAAAAAGTGGTCAGCTAGGGTAATTAGTGGTCTCCATACTGAAAGCAAGCCAATGGTGGGGTGGGAAACCAGAAAATATGGCCCAAAGACCAAGAAAACCAATTTTCCGACTAGAAAACTAGCTGCGTAGGGAGAAAAGTGGTTTCCAAGGAGAAAGCTGGTCTTCCACCCTTGTACCACCTCCCAAACAAGGAAAATAAGGTTCGTGCCAAGAACGAACCAACACGGATGCAAACGAGAGTTCAGCAGCAAGACGCGCAACCGGGGGCTCAAAAACTGACTGTTAAGCATCGAAAGTGGCGTGCGACCACGAAGGGGGTCTCCCGGGCCACAGTGTCCCTCCAAAGAGAGGAAACAAGGTGTGTGCCAAAAACCGGAGCAAACGGAGAAAGTTAAGCGGTCCCGAGCCGAGGCGCACGGCCGACGGCTCCGAAAATCGGAAACTAGTCTCTAAACGGGAACAGTGGCCTACGACCACGAAAAGTAGTCTACGACCACTGAGAGATGGTCTACAAGACCTTTCCCTCCCTCCGGGAAGAGAAACAGAGTTCGGTCCTCAGACCGAGCCGAAGCACAAAAGAGTTCAGAGGCCTGGAGGCAAGGCTCTCAGCCAAAACTCCGAAACTTCTAAACGAGCACAACATGCACCATCACTGAGCGCTCAATCGATGACGTCTGAGTCTTAAGGTCGGTCAAAAATGGGGTGTCTATACCATGGATTTTTTCTTTCCCAACAAAAGTATGCTGGTGAACTCTTGCTGAAGGCTAGCATGGTGGATTGTAAGCCTAGCTCCACTCCTATGGCTCTCAAGTCGTCCTTTGATCCTGCTAGTGAGTTTCCCTTCTCAGACGCTTCTCTTTGTCACAGCCTTGTTGGTGGTTTACAGTACTTAACTATAACCAGGCCTGATATAGCTTTGGCAGTGAATCATGCATGTCAGCATATGCACTCCCTTTCTGTAGCTCACTTTGCTGTGGTCAAAAGGATTCTTCGATATGTTAAAGGCTCTTTATCTCAAGGCCCCTTCTTCACACCTGGTCCTTTCATACTTTATACCTACACTAACTTTAATTGGGCTGGTGACTGTGTCGATCGCAAATCAACTTCAGGCTTTTGTGTGTTCCTTGGTCCAAATCTTATTTCCTCGTCTGCTAAAAAGAAGGCCACTGTCTCTAGATCCTCAACTGAAGCTGAGTAAAGAGCTATGGCTCATACTGCTGCTGAATTATGTTGGCTTCAACAGCTACTCGAGGAGTTGTCCATCTCTTGTTCGTCTTCCCCTGTTCTTTGGTGTGATAATGTCTCGGCTATGGCTTTGGCTTCAAATCCCATCTTTCATGCCCATTTGAAACATATTGAAATCGATTGCTATTTCATTCGTGAAAGGGTAGCTTCTAAACAAATTTCTCTTTCTTATATTCATTCGGTTGATCAGGTTGCTGACATCTTCACTAAGCCTCTATCTTCTTCTCGGTTTCATTATCTTAAGGACAAACTAATGATGCTTCCCAACCCCATTGGTTTGCAGGGGAATGATAAGAGTATTGAGGAATACTCATCTCAGCAGCTCAAGCCACACTCTTAGCAGCTCAAGGCACGAGTGCAGCCAACAGAGAAGCCAACAAACACCTCAGCTCACATTTGTGATAATAGATATGGTTATGGAAGTAAAGTGAGTTAGTTATATTGTTAGTTAGTTAGATTGTGAATTAGTTAGTTTGTTTTGTAACAAACTCAGTGATAATACACTGAGGATAAATATCTATAAAACTCTCATCATATGAATCTAAGAAAGAAAGATGTTTTTGTAAATTCTGTTACCTTCTAACCATTGTACAAACGAATGTGAATTTTTATTTTATTTTATTTTATTTATTTTTTTGGAGTTTTCCCTGATTATGGTTGAGGTATTTTATTTTCTATTATTATTTTTAAGGAAAGCTTGTCATCTATAGAAAACATGAAATGAACAAAGAGAGTTAACAACTTCATTTTTCAAATAGATGGAACATTCTTTCTGATATAAAGAAAACTTTTTTGAGCTGTTCTCTAGAATAGTTTTAACACATGATGGAATATGTGCATACTTATATTTCATTGGCTACTTTATTTTAGTCTGTATTCTATATTAGCAAGATAGAAGAATTCGATGTACATGTTACGATTACAAAATTGATATTTTACAATTTAGGTAAAATAAATTCCAGAGTTTGAAAATTTGTATCTGGATCCAACATTTGTGTGAAGGGAGATATATTGGAGAAAGGTGGTTTCTTGCAAATATTTTGTGTTGTTGGTCTGTGCAAAGGAATTAAAAGTGAGTGGGACACTTTTTCTAAGCATATTCAATTTATGGTAGGGAGCAGGGAATGCGTTAGCCTCTTTAAGGAATTCAAATTTAATAATAATAATAATGAAGACAAAGTGTCCATTCCCTAACACAAATGGAATATCCCCTCCCCCCTCCAAAAAAAAAGAAAGAAAAGAAGATGCGAATTAAAATTGAAGTTCTTGACTTTTTAGCCTCTTTAACGAATTCAAATTTAAGATTTTCATGCAATTCCACTCGTTAAGATAAATTAAAAAAATAAATAAAAAATAAAAATAATTATATAATTAAACAGTAGATGAGCATGTAAATTAACGTTGAAACTGAATAATAAAGTTCATATTATTCATGAGAAATAGTAGATGAGCATGTAAATTAATTAACATTGAAATTGAATAACCAAGTTTATATTATTCATAAAAAAGAAATTTGTTATCAGGATACAACAAATAAGAGTTTTAGGGACAACATTTTTTGATCCCTAAAAGTGCAAATTTTGTTGCAAAAAATATTTGAGAATAAATTTTTATCATTGCGAGAATAGTTGCTAAAAGGTAATCTCGAAATGTAAACATAAAAAATAAAAATGAAGAATGCTTTTAGAGATAATGTGAAACCCCGTATTTTTGAGGTATTAATATTTTAGTAAGAGGTATTGGTGGTAGTTTGGTGGTGAGATTCTTAGATGAGAATCTAACTTATTTTTCTCTATTTATTTTTTCTCTTTTTCCCCCCACCTCATTATTATTCAACTCCTTTGTTTTCTAATATTTTTTCATTATTCTTGGGCCCCAAGTAAATTTTATTTTATTATTTTTTCATCATTTCATTACTTACTGAGCAATCTTTTATTTTTAATTTCTTTTATCTGCCTTTCTCTCTAAGGAAGTTTCTTTTCTTGTTCTCCAAGTAAATCCCTTTCTTGCCCACCAAGTAAACTCTATTTTATTGTTTTTTCTTTCTTTTGTCCCAAGTATCTTTGCCTATAAATTGAGCTCACCTCTCAACTTCTTTCTATGGTTGTTCCCATATCTCTCTTCATTTGTTATATAGATTTAGAGTTTAGATTAAGAATGTTTAGAATGAGAGTAAGCATTTTCATAAAGGAGAAGAGTTGTAGATTTTGTGAAACCTTACATACCTTATGCCTTAGACTTTGGAGATCCATGGAGAAATATCGAGATTTAAGTATTGGCGACGGAGGAGATTGATTTGAGGTAATTCGGGTGGTATACAATATACTTCCTTTAAATCTCTTTGCAAAGAGCTTTTATCTTGATTACTTCACATTTGTACTCGTCTTGATTATCATGGTCATATGTTAAATTCTGTGAAATCATTCTTGTTGATATTTTGAGTACTCCATACATGGATCGAGTAAACCTTGCCAATAGACACTCAGATCCGAGTGAACATTCAAACCTTTCTCTTCCTTCCCATTGAAAATCTTAACACGGATTGTTTCCACATCAAGGTCTCCTCGTTGTGCCTCTATGACCTTACTAACCAAGGTACGTTGAGCATTCAAAGTAAACAATGTAGCACTCTCCCCGGACTCACCCAAGTGCAAATCAAACTTTCCAATAACACCTATCATATCCTATTCCCGAATGGCCACACTTGCCAAACTACTCACAAATTTTTGACTCAAAACATCGGCCACTACATTGGCCTTCCCCAGATGATAGTGCAACTCAAAGTCACAATCCTCCATAAATTCCATCCACCTCTGTTGACGTAAGTTCAAGTCTTTTTGAGAAAACAAATACTTTAGACTCTGATGATCGGAGAAAACCTCAAACTTCTCATCATACAAGTAATGCCTCCAAATTTTCAAGGAAAAAATTATCGCCGCTAATTCTAAGTCATGGGTGGGGTAATTCTTTTCATGAGTTTTCAATTGTCATGATCCGTGGGCCACAACTTTACCGTCTTGCATCAAGACACAACCAAGTCCATCCCCGGACGCATCACAATAGATGGTGTAATCTAAACCCCTTTCCGGAATTATCAAGACCGGTGCTGTAGTCAATCTAGTCTTAAGTCCTTGGAAAGACTTTGCACAAGCCTCATTCCACACAAACTTGATACCCTTCCTGGTCAACCTAGTCAAAGGTGCAGCTAATCTAGAGAAGTCTCTTACAAAGCATCGATAATACTCCGCCAACCCCAAGAAACTTCGGATCTCAAAAGCATTCTTGGGTCGTTCACAATCCTGTACAGCGTCTATCTTTGAGGAGTCCACAGTTACTCCCTCACTCAACACTACATGGCCCAAAAACTTTACCTCGATTAACCAAAACTCGCATTTATCAAATTTGGCATACAAATCGTGCTCCTCAAGCAATTCAAGCACTACCCGCAAGTGAGCCTTATGTTCCTCCTTGGAGGTTGAATAAATTAAGATGTCGTCCACAAAGACGACCAAAAACGGTCTAAGTATTCCCGAAAAATTCTGTTCATCTAATCCATAAAAGATGCCGGTGCATTAGTCAACCCAAACGGCATTATAAGGAATTCATAGTGGCCATAACGCGTACGAATGGCTGTTTTCTGGATGTCCTCTTCCCAGACTCTCAACTGATGGTACCCTAACCTTAAATCTATCTTGGAAAAGCAGCGAGACTTTAAGTTGGTCAAACAAATCATCAATTCTAGGTAGAGGATACTTGTTCTTAATGGTAACCCGATTCAACTTGCGGTAATCAATACGCAACTCCAATGACCGATCCTTCTTCTTCGCAAAGAGAACCGGTGCTCCCCAAGGTGATGTACTGGGGCGAATGAAGCCCTTATCTAAAAGTTCATTGAGTTGAATCTTCAACTTATGCAATTCGGCGGGTGTAAATCTATATGATGACATGGAAATCGGTGTCGTGCCAGGCACTAATTCAATGGAGAACTCGATCTCCCGGTGGAGTGGCAAACTAGTAAGATCCTTGGGAAAGACATCCGAGTATTCACAAACCACCCTTGGTGTAGACCACCCGAACTCCGCTCCGCGCGCGAGGGCGCGAATTTGGTTCATAGCTACTACAGTTCGGAGTCCTATCACGGTTCTGAATCTAATCTCAGAAAATGCAATGTAAGACTGATAAATCACCAAAGAGTCCAAATCCGGCAAGTCATTTTGGAAAATCGATTTTAATCAAGAAGTGCGAAACATGGACTGCTTTGCCAGATTTTAGAGTTGCCATCTAAATATTTTGTTTTGGGAAAATGTAGAAAACCCTGACTTGTGTCTAAAGCCACGTGTCCGTCATCACCAAAGTTACCTCGGCTCGGGAACTTGGGTACGAGAGGGGAAGATCCTGAAATGAGCACCCCTGCTCGCCCGATCAAAAATCGACCTCTACTAACATGATATGTTATTTTTGAAAATACGTGTTCTTATTTTGATTATTAGCTAATCTTTACTACGTGATGCGCACAGCAAACAAGTATAGACTCAATCACGCGAATTGGAACAAAACAACTCATGTTTGTTTTCGAAAATGGTTTGAAGTTGCTACTCGCAAGTAGGCTAAGACACGGATTTGCTACCCTCAAGTGGGCTTAGAAAAACATGATTTTGCCACTTCAAGTGGGCTTAAAACTCATAATCAGTGAGTTATTCCAATTCAGGCAATCAAACCTTAACCCACAGGCATTCATACAGTTAAACACATAAGCACATAGCCTCATGGCAAGCATGCTATCATGGAAGCACTTACACACATGCAAGATGCTAAAGCATAAACACTTACAGTGTACTCCAAGCCAAAACAAAAGCTATGTCAGAAACCAATGCATGACCCTAGCTATCTCAGGAAGGCCTACTGCAACACATGCAAAATGTAACTAAGATAGGCTCGACTATTCTAAGATGT